CTTTCCCCAGCACTTGTTCATAAGCCCACTCCTCATGTCTCAATACCTCCTTACAGATAATGTAGGCTGTCTCATTTCCTCCACATCTTTCAGTCCTATATCTTCCTTTTTAACTCCAGAGATGATGATCATCCCAGATTTTACATTCCTTCTCTGCCACAAGATATGTCCTCCCATGTGCTCTGAGATCATCTGCATAACTTGTGTGCTGTGCCTCTGGTCACTGTAAAGCTAAGGAATTTTGACAACTTGTAATTCCCTCTTCTTCCACATCTCATGACAAAGACGTAGCTAGTCTTGATGGGCAGCTGGCAAAAGACAAAGACTCTGCCTGACAGATTACTCCCAGTTGCCCTCCACAGCTTCCTGGTATCTCCCATGCTAGAAGATACCACCTCTCAAGAATAAGAAAACTAGTTGGTTACACTGTTCATGCCAGGTCAGCCCATTGATAGCTGCAGTGGATTAAAGCTCACAAAAATTGCTCTGCTGGCAGAGGAAGCTGTTACCTGCTGAGACAGAGGCAATGGCTGGGTCAGGGCAGGAAAGTCCTTTCAGCACCCCCGTTAACCTGTCCGCTAGGGAATTCACAAGCTGTTTGAAAACCTTCCAAGTCCTTTCTCTTTTTATTAATATATAAGCCACCACTGGCCTTTAGTTCTCCATCTTGATTAAGGGCTGGTTAAATAACTGGAGGTGGCTTTTCATGTATCTGATCCACAAGCATTATTTCATTTCTCCCTGAGCATTCTTCAATTCTCATTTGCAAGGAAGTGTAAAATGCTCAGAGGACCAAAAGTCCTTCACTCATGAACCCTCTTCTCTGGAGTATGTCAGAAATTCCAGTCATTTGGAGCAGAGATAAAGTTCAACCTGTAGCATCAGCTCTGTTATTCCTCAAAGATATTTCACGTTGAGCCTAACCTTTTGGCTCACCTTTGGTAGCCAACTGTTGACAGGAATTCCAGACTCAGATCTCTGCCTTTACTATTTGGAAGTGTGTTTACCTTAGAAGCCAGAGAGGTTACAAAAAACTGCTGTTCTTCCAAAGTTCGTCAGGAAATCCTTCAAATATTGCTTTCTGACTTGTTTTCTCTGGCCTCTCCAATATTGTTTCTTGCGAGCTGATAGTTCTGTATTCCCATTGCTCTTGAATATAAATAAATGGTATCAGAAGATGGTCTACTCGTGAACTCTATGTCGCTAAATGATGCAGCAAAGTCAAGCAGAGCAACAGGGTCTGTTCGACTTTGTTCAGGGTCTCCAAAAGTGGCTTCTGGCCCTTGACCCCATTGAGCTGAAGATAGATTCCAGAGAAATGAGAGGCTCAGTCATTCTTACTGGGAACTGAACCTGCTTTTCTTGGAAGGCCCATTGTGGGTTTCTTCTCTGATGCTTCATAAGCACAGGAAATTTATTCTGTTCCAGCCTTGGTTTAATCAGTGCAAACCCAAATGTAAACAGTGGGGTTTAGGTTTGTAAATGCAGAAGTTGTTGTTGGTAACCTGTTTCTTCTCTAGTTATTTTATAGATACTCAATGCATTACAACAGTATTTGTAATGTCATGGCAAGCTTACTGTCAACAAATGAAGAAATAAGAAAACAGTGGCAATCTCTGCTGTTGTCCTCAACAGATAGGGGAAGGTTTTTCCTGATTCTGTCTGTCTGTCTGTGTGTATTGACAAGGAAAATGGATCAAATAATTAAATTTGAAGAGGTTCATAAGGATAAAGTTCCTTCATGAGCATGACATAACACTGTTAAAACTACAAAATGGCCAGACTTCACTATACAAGAAACAGGTTGTTTTCTTGCCCTCTTCAGTCTTACCAGAAGGTGGTTTCCCCAGATGTCCTAGTTCTGGTGAGGTATACTTCATCACATGCCTGATGTTTCTTTCTCCCTTTAAATGGCAAAGAAATAAATGGAAAGA